TTGTGTGCCTGCCCACATTTAGGTTTTGATATATTCATGAGGTGCAGGGCCAGTCTCACTGGGAGGTAAGGGGACTACTGGCTGCAGGAGGGACAGGAAGCCAAATCCCTGCTCTGCCTTGGGGATCTAGAGGTTCACAGCGCAGGAATTTCCCCAGCCACAGAAGAGCGCTTAAGGGGGGCTGGGCCGGGCTGGGGTGCAGCCCAGTGTAGACTGCTCGCCTGGCACGGTGAGGCCCTGGGTTCCATCCCCAGCACCACAAAAATAAACAAATAGGTAAATAAATAAACTAATTAAAAATAAATAAAAGGTGCTGGCAACCCCGAATGGTAGACTGTGGAGGTCTGGGACGCCTCCCTCCCCCCAAACAACTAATGAGCTGGTAAACAATGTCACAGTCAACTCTAGAGTCTAGTAAAAAACAAAACTAACAAAACTCAACCACCAAGGGAAAACCAGGTGAAGAAGCCTCTGCCCTGTGGTAAAAGAGATTTGATCACTCACCCACCAGTGACCAGGAGGACAGTGGCCTGTGCTTATGGAGCTGGTGGCCAGTGCCAGTGGCCAGTGGCTGGTGGCCAGGAGCAATACAGAATCAATTCTCAAAGCATCATGTCAAAGGTCTCAGGCTGCCTGGGGACACCCTCAAGTCCCAAGTTAAAGGCTTCCTGTTTGTTCACACAGGGCACTTCTAGGGCTGGGGTGGCTTCCTGGGTGGCTTTTGACCAGAGCATTTAAACACAGAGGTATCGGCAGCCTGGGGCAAGGGACCCCCTTGGGACAAGTAGATCAAGAGGCCTGGAAGCATCGGCAGATGGGTGTGTGTGTGTGTGTGTGTGTGTGTGTGTGTGTAAGGGCTTTTAAAACCTCCCTCCTGTACCAGGGTCAGCAGAAAGTCCTGTGCAGGCCCAGGGTGAGATGGATGCTCAGGAAAGGCCTGAAGACCCTCGGCTGTCCTCTCTGGCTGGCCACAGACTGCGCAGGTAGGGGTGGAGACGAGGCAGAGCAGGAGTGGCCGACGGGTTGAGGGACTGTGCCCCACACGGGATTTGCAAAGATCAGGAGGTGTGTTCCCTTTTTCCTTTCTTCTTTTTTCTCCTTTGTTCTTCTTTTTTGATGTTGTTGTTATTGTTGATTCCAGGGTCACTCAGGTAACTCTGTCAGACTACATGCTGACCAATAAGCCAAAAGAACTCAGACTTCAGGGGCAAAGAGTACCCACTTTCCACACCCAGCGAAGGACATTCACTAAACAATCACAATGACCACAGCGACAGTCAGCTCCGGGGGGAGGAGAATCTGATTGTCCTTGGTGCTATCCAAGGCGGTGGTATGCGCCTGTCATCCTAGCGACTGGGGAGGCTGAGGCAGGAGGATCACAAGTTCAAAGCCAGCCTTAGCAACTTAGCGAGGCCCTAAGTCACTTAGCGAGACTCTGTCTCAAAATAAAAAATAGAAACAAAAAGGGCTGGGGATGTGGCTCAGTGGTTGAGCAACCCTGGGTTCAATTCCTGGTACCAAAAAAAAAAAAAGTCCAGTTTAAAAAAAAAAATCAGAGGCATACAAAGAAACAGCAAAGTATGATTCATTCATGGGAAAAACAATTAAAATAAGCTCCTGATATGGAGCTTATTGGACAACAAACTTCGTTTATTTTTCATTTTATTTTTTGTGGTACAAGGGATTGAACCCTGGGGCCCTTGAGCACTAAGCCACATCCCCAGCTCTTTTTAGTTTTTAAATTTTGAGGTAGGACCTTGCTGTGTTGCCCAGGCTGGCATCTAACTTGTGGTCCTGTCTCTGCCTCTGGAGTAGCGGGATTGTAGGTCTGTGCCACTCCACCTGGCTAAGACAACGACTTCAAATCACCTGTCTTCAATATGCCCAAAGAGCTAAAGGACATGGTGGGAAAACAACAAAGAAAGACACTCCCCAGAAGACCAGGCTCCGGGAGGCAGCAGGACGCGGGGCCAGCAGAATGTTGACTTAACACTGTTACGGGCCTGGTGTGTGCCAGGCGAGTGCTCTGCCGCTGAACTGCACCCCCCGGCCACTACCAAAAAGCCTGGCTGTAAGTTTCACAAAGGCGTTTTTTGCTTTTTGGTCCCAGAGATTGAACTCAGGGACACTTAACCACTGAGCCCATTTATATATTTTATTTAGAGACAAGATCTCACTGAGTTGCTTTAGGGCCTTGCAAAACTGCTGAGGCTGGCCTTGAACTTGAGATCCTCTGGTCACGGCCTCCAGAGCTCCTGGAGGAGGCTCTTTAGAATCAACGGGTCCACGTGTGGCCCAAGACCCCGGAGGTTTGGGGTCTTCTTTTCTCACTGTTGAAGCAGCTTTGGCCACCGTGGGGTGAGGTCACTCATCTGTCTCCTCTTAAAAAACACAAAACCCTGTTTTTTAAGAAAACCAAAACCCTGTTTTTTAACAAAACCCCAGGGGTGCCCAGGAGGGGAGCCCACCCAGCCCCACGCCAGCACCACCGCTGTCCCCAGAGAGAGGAGGCGACATTCCCCTTCCTGGGGTGTCCCAGGGACAAGGGCGAAGGACATCACTGAGGGCCCCTGTGAGTGGGAATGTGGGAGGCTGGGGCTGGACAGTGGGCTGGACAGGGGGTGGGGACAGGGGGCTGGACAGTGAGCTGGACAGCGGGCGGGGACAGGAGGCTGGACAGTGAGCTGGACAGGGGGCGGGGACAGGAGGCTGGACAGGGGGCTCTCCTGTTCTACCCATTTCCCTGCAAATGACTTAATTTCATTTTTCTTTTTTTTTATGGTCAGATAGAACTCCACAGTGTGTTTACACCACATTTTCTTTATCCTTCATCCATTTGATGGACACCTAGGCTGGCTCCAGAGTTTGGCAGTTGTGAATTGTGCTGCTATAAACGTGGATGTGCCCGTGTCACTGTGATGTGACTTTAATTCTTAAATATATACCTGGGAGTAATGTAGTTGGATCATATGGTGGTCCCAGGCCTAGTCTTTTTTTTTGGGGGGGGAGGGTTACCCGGGATTGAACTCAGGGGCACTCCACCACTGAGCCCCATCCCCAGCCCTGTTTTGTATTTATTTAGAGACAGGGTCTCACTGAGTTGCTTAGGCTGGCTTTGAACTCGTGATCTTCCTGCCTCAGCCTCCTGAGCCGCTGAGATTACAGGTGTTCATCACCTGCCCAGCTCAGGCCTAGTCTTTGGAGGAAACTCATCCTGATTTCCGTAGTGGTTGTGCTGATTTACAATATCAACAGTGTAGAAATTCGAACTCGAATTTTCCTGTGAGTCTTACAAGGTGAGTATCATTATCCTACCTACTTATGGATGAGGAAACTGAGTGGGGAGCAGTCACGTCACCCCACCATACAGCTCGCATTTGCAGGAAGTAGATCAAGCCTGGTCTCAGTCGTCAACACTGTGCCAGCTTCATAGACTTGTCATGAGTATTGCATGAGGGACCTGCCCAGTGGCTACTCTAGGCTTTGGCACCAGAATGATGTTTAAGAAGTCACCTCGTAACAGCTGCTGTTATCAGTATCAGAACCCAAACATACAAGTGGGGCTTTCTCCGACTCTCTAACATCACATGTGCTTGTGACCAGGCCACTCTTACAGACTAGGGAGGCTGGATGCAGGGCACACGCCTGTAACCCCAGCTACTGGGGAGGCTGAGGCAGGAGCATCCCAAGTTCCAGGTCAGCCTCAGCAACTTCGTGAGCCCCTGTCTCAAACTAAAGAAAAATAATAAACAGGTCTGAGGTGTCAGTCTGCAGGAGAGCCCCCCTCAGTTCAGTCCTCACTAAAAAAATAAAAAAATAAGAATAAAGGAATTCAACAACTTAGCAAGTCCCTAAGCAGCTCAGTGAGACCCTGTCTCCAAATAAAATCCAGAGAAATGTTTGGGGATGTGGCTCAGTGGTTAAGTGCCCTTGGGCTCCATCCCCAGTACCAATAAAATAAAAATTAAAGTTAAAAAAAGCAGGGGGTGGGTGGGGCATGGGGACCATCATGTTTTGCAACTGTTGGATGTTAGAACAAATCTAACACTTTTATTTTTCCTTTGGGGCGCTGGGGATTGAACCCAGGGCCTTGTGCATGCGAGGGAGGGACTCTACCAACTGAGCTACACCCCCAGCCCCTGATTGAGCACTTTTATGCTTTGGGGAGGTAAGATTTTCCCGAGCCGTCCTCAGTCCCCAGTGTCCCCCGCCCCATTCTGGGGTGAGTGGACCTCCCTCTGTTCTGCCTGAGTAGATGTCCCTCTCCTGTCTCTTTTCTCCCGTCATTCATGTCATCGCCTGGTCTCTCCCGTGGCCGTCAAAGGACCCCAGTGGTTCACAAGACAACATGGAGGTGGCCACTCCTCTGTGGCGGGTTCTGCCGGGGCCTGGTGTACAGGGAGCAGGGGGAGGGCCTGGCTGGGAGGAAGGGAGCTGTCGGTCTCCAACCCACTTCGTCAGTTTGCTGGTCAGAGAAAAATCCAGATGTCAGGGAATCGTGTTTTCTTTGTTTCTTTTCCATGACATAGAATTTGGCCTTGGTGTGGGGAAGAATCCCGTGAATCATATTTTCTGTTTATTTGGCTCCTAGCTGAATGGGAATTTGCATTACTTAATGTCTGTTTTTTTTTTCTTGGGAATAAAAATAAGTTCCCTATTCAATTATTAAGCAAATTTCACAGCCAAATAATCCTCTTATCATTACAAGTAGGATTTTCCTTGGTTGGAGGGTGTCTGCATACTCTGAGCAATGATTCCTCTGGTGTCTTCCGTTTCCTCTGACTCCCTCATTCATGATTGGGAGCTTCTAAATGGCAGCCTGGGGGATGTTGACCTTGCAAGCCACAGGTGAGTTCTTCCACGTCCCCAGTGGGGATTGAACCCAGGGGTGCTCTACTGCTGAACTCTGTCCTTGGTCCCTTTTTTATTTTTTATTTTGAGGCAGGGTCTGAAATGACTGAGCCTGGCCTCCAACTTGTGATCCTCCTGTTTCAGCCTCCTGAGTCACTGGGATTACAGGTGTGAGCTCTTCACCTTTTCCCTTCCTTTCACCCCTTAGGTTGGGCATTGTCCTTTGACCGATTGACTGATTGATCTGTTTGATCCATCTATTCCATCTATGAATAGGTCCATCCATCCAACATTTGTTAAGCACCCACTTGGCCCATTTGTCCCTGTGAATCGGATCCTCCCTTTTCCCCAACGATCCCAATGGTGCCTCGCCCCTACCCCTGGGTGGCCTCAAGCAGAACACATACAGAATTGGGCTGAGCTACTCTGGGCACCAACCAGAAGCCAGCGGGGATTTGAAACTCACCAGCACCCTCTTCCTGTCCCCTGAGAGTGGCGCCTCTATCTCCCTGTGACACCAGCTTTCCCTTCTACTCTCAGTGTCTTGATGGCGTGGGGTGGGTCAGAGCTCAAGCTGAAGAGTTCATACCTCTGCTCTGGGTGCTGTCTGTCCCAGGCTGTCCCACACAGGATGTCCCGGCCACTCACGATCTTGAGAAACCTCCTGGCACCAAGCGGTCAGGACGCACTGACCCACAGGTTGCAGATTGGCTGCGCCTCCGGCCTCCCTCCTTCCTCCCATGGTGAGCCTCTATATGGCGGGGACCTAGGACACGGAGGTGAGCAGGCCAGACATGTCCTCCGGCATGGAGGGGCGCCTGGCGTATTCAACCAGGTGGCAGGAGCCCGGGGGGGGGGGGGCAGCCTGGGGAGGCAGGAGAGAGGGGAGAATCCAGTTTTCTCTGCCCTCCCTCTGAGCTGTGGCCTGGGCCATTGCTTTGGGATGAGTCGCTCGGTGCAGCGGGGTTTGGGGCGCGCCCGGAGGCAGGGGCATGAGGAGGAGGGGGGCAGCTGGATTGGCAGCTTTGGTGAACGGCCCCAGGTCTCCGCGGTTCCACGGGCCTCACTGGGCTGGAGGCGTTTCCCAGGATCCTGCAGCAGGAAGGTCTTCCCTGAGCTGTCCCCACGTGGCATGGGGACGCGAGAAAGAGGCCAGTCCTCGTCCCGACGAGCTGTGTTTACTTTTCCATCTCTCATTCCAGCATCTCTTCTCTTTCCCGGACTGTTAACGTTTGGATCTGGAATGTCCCCAAACGCTCCTGTGCTTGGACTCTTGGTCCCTTGCAGCAGGGTCCAGAGGTCGGGCTCTGGCTGCGTCAGTGGACCGACTCCCTTGGTAGAGAAGGAGTTGAATGGATGATGGGGACGCGGGACACGGTGGAGGACGTGGGTGGCTGGGGACATGTCGTGGAGGGGCCTACATGGTCCGGGCTGAGAGGTCTCCCTCTGCTGCGCCCTGCTGACCATGGAGGAGACCCCTGAAGACGAGCCGGGATTGATGACCTGTCCTCCATCCCGTTGTTCCCAGCAATGAAAACCGACATACGCGGGACTTGTCCTTGATTCCTTTTGGAGAGCTGTCCACCCGCTGCACCCCACTCCCTGGTGCGCAGTTTCTCCCCACCCCAGCCCCTCCCCCCCTCCCTCCCTTCCTTCCTCTTCCTTCTCTTCCTGTTTTGGAATTGAACTCAGGGGTGCTCTGCCACTAAGCTACATCCCCAGCCCTTTTTATTTATTTATTTGATTTCAAGACAGGCTCCTCCTCCTCCCCCTCCTCCTCCTCCTTCTTCTTCTTTTTTGGCACTGGGGATTGAACCTGAGCTGCACCCCCAGCCCTTTCATTTTTTTATTTTGAGACAGAGTCTCGCTAAGTTGCTGAGGCTGGCCTTGAACTTGTGATCCTCCTGCCTCAGCCTCCTGTGTAGCTGGGATGACAGACACAGGCAGCCTGGATGCTCAGGAGGGAAGGACTTGGAGCCAGAGGACCGGGACTGGAACCTTGGTCCTGCCGCATGCTAGCTTGTTTGTAGAGGAGCCATGGCAGCTGTGCCTTGCCACCCCAGAGCCCCTTCAGAGGGGCTCATCGCCCTGGGTTGACGGGCGTGGACACCCTGTCGAAAGACAGACAACATCTGGGCTGGTCAGGGGGCAGCCAGGCAGCTGCGTGAGAAACCCAGCTGTCACGGAGCTGGGGACCTTCCAAGAAAACGAGGCACTGTGAAGACCCCTCTTCAAACCCCAGTTCTTGCGATCATGACAGAAATGTTTCAGACATGTCACTGGGAGGAATGACTTTATTGAAATGGGGAAAGGGGGAGGGGGACACTCTTGAGAGAGGAAGTGGGTCCTTTCAGAGAGGAGAGGGACATTGTGCCCCTCCTGCCTCTAGTTTTAGTGGGAATCCTAGAGAAGTTTCCAGAGAGCCCTACCCACGTCCACCTCTTGACTTTTGACTGACAGCAGGTGACATCAGACGATTTCAGGTCCCCACTGTCATGGCCACTCTAGGTCACCTCGATTCTTAACTGCGCATTCTTAGATTTTAGGGTTAGGAGGAACTGCCCTTCTCTCCCAGAATTTCAGGATCTGGTCACAAAAGTCCCCCGGGTCCTGTCCTCAATGTTATCTGGGGCCTGCGTCTCTCCTGCAGTGACAGGCTGTTTGCTGGGGGATGTGACACAGCCTGTCCCCTGAGGCCAGGCAGGGCTGCAGGTAAATTGCTTCTTGGAAAAGCCAGCAGGTGGGGGTTAGCCCCGTGGGCCTTTTACAGAATCATTCTCTGAACCCCAAGTTCCCACCACCCTCACCTGTCTGTCCCCTAACACAGCCACCAGGGACCCTGGGGGCCATTGAGACCCTTTCTCCTGGAGAGGGGGAACATGAGAGTTGGAGGAGGATCAGCAGTGGGACCGGCAGAGCAGAGAGAGGGTGGAAGGAAAGTCAGGAGAGGAGGCTGGAGTCAGCAGAGGCTCTGGGGAGTGGCAGCCAGGAATTGACAGCACTCGTGGTCAGCAGGAACCTGAGGGCAGGAGTCTGAGTCAGCAGCGTGGCCCGCGGGAGCCTGTCCCCGTCCTAGTGGCCCCCGGAGGGGTGCCCAGCGTGTTCCTGCAGCATCCCCCCTGCCGCCAGGTGCTGGGCCACCTGGCGCAGCTCCTGGGAATGTACCCTGAGAGAACTGGGCACGTGCCCAGGCCTGTGGCCACTCCTCAGGGGCAGTCCCTTGCCTGTGCCGTGGGGACACCTGGTGTCAGGGCCGTGAGGCAGAGACCCCACCTCTGAGTGGTCACACCACCCAGGACGGGCTCCTCGGACCCTCCCGGGCAGGAGTTTGCCTTTGGGTCAGGAGGTGGGAAACCCAGAGTCCCTGGCTTCCTCTGCGGGGATCCTCTGGGCACCTGGGTTTCTTGAGGCTGGCTTCTTTGGCTCCGTCTGCATTCTGCAAGCCTCCTGAGCATTCCCGCAGGACTATTTTTAGGGGTGGTGGTGGTGGAGGGGTACCAGGGATTGAACTCAGGGGCACTCGGCCACTGAGCCACTCCCCAGCCCTATTTTGTATTTATTTAGAGACAGGGTCTCCCTGAGCTGCTTAGGGCCTCACTATTGCTGAGGCTGGCTTTGAACTCGTGATCCTCCTGCCTCAGCCTCCCGAGCTGCTGGGATGAAAGGCATGGGCCACCACGTCCAACTCCTATGGACCTCATTTTCTTGTTTAAATAATATCCCCAACCGGATCCAGACCTCGCAGGGCTGTGAAAACACCTCGTGCCCCTGTGATGGAACTTCTGGCCCGTGTCGCAGCTGAGCAATATAAGGCCTGGAGCAGAGAGGGGATGAGACAGTTCCAGGTCGCAGAGTCAGGGCATGGGGGCTCTTTCTCACCTCCCTGGGGCCCCCTCTCGCTCTCCCGGCTCTATTGATGCACCTGCTACCTCCCCAGGGCGCGCTCATCTCTGGGCTCTGTGCATCTGAACTTGCCAGCAGTTCCATCCTTTGAAAGATTTCAAACCAGTTGTTAATTCAACACAGGCTCTGCCAAGACCTTCCCTTGCACCTTCCAAACGCCGCAGTTTTGTGACCAGCTGCGTGAGAAACCCAGCTGTCACGGAGCTTTGCAATACTGGCTCTCGGTGCAGTAGCAGAGAACTCCCTCTAGGTGGCAGCACGGGACCGCAAATGTCCTGGAATAGTGCTCCCAAGAGCTCGGCTTTTGAAAGAGGGCTGGTCAGATGCTGGCTTTACTAGCCACGTGCAAAAAGGAGCCATCAGGAGAGAGGAGGAAGGAGACTGGGGCGGAGGCTGGTCTTGAGGGAAAAGAATTGCTTTGAGATCTGGAAGCCAGCAGCATTCATCCATCCATTCATCCCACAAATATTTGGGGGCACCTGTGCTGATATACCCGTGCATACAAATGATTATTTGTTTATTTATTTTGTGGTAGTGGGGACTGAACCCAGGGGTGCTCTACCCCAGCCCTTTTCTATGTTTTGAGACGGGGTCTTGCTAAGTTGCTCAGGCTGGCCTCAAATTTGCGATCCTCCTGCCTCAGCCTCTGGAGTTGCTGGAATTACAGGTGTAATACTTACATAGTTAGGCCCACACGTATTATATATATCATGTACATGCACACACAATAACACACACACACACACACACACACAATAACTGCTCCTACATTTTATTTCACCGAGTGTCAGGATTACTATTCTGTCTCCAGTTGACTCTGAAGGCTGCTGGACCTGTCTGTGGTGCCCACTATTAGCATCCCATTTCTAACATTACTACTTCCTGCTTCTCTGATTTTTTTTTGCGGGGGGTACCAGGGACTGGATTCAGGGGCACTCGACCACGGAGCCACCTCCCCAGCCCTATTTGGTATTTTATTTAGACACAGGGTCTCACTGAGTTGCTTAGGGCCTTGATTTTGCTGAGGCTGGCTTTGAACTGGCGATCCTCCAGCCTCAGCCTCCCAAGCCGCTGGGATTATAGGCCTGCGCCATTGCGCCTGGCTGCTTCTCCGATTTTTAGTATAAACCAGGTAATCATCTGAGGGCCCTTTTGCCCCTTGTGACCTCAGTAACATTTCCCCGAAGGTTCCTTCTGCCTCACCTTCTACCCGCCTCCAGAGGGAGGCTCCAGTCCTCTCTGTGATTTTGGCTGACCCCGGGCTTTTTCCACCTCCTGGGCTCTTTCCTAGTGGGCTGCTTCCGCCCTACAGTATATCACACTCTTTTTTAATTTAAATTAACTTTTTTTTTTTGTGGTGCTGGGGTTAATTAATTTTTTTAACAGCAGTAACAACCATGAAAAATTATTCACCAAATCCATAGCAGGACTGTGTGAGTCTGCTCACCCTAAAAAGGCTCTGGGGAGGGTCCGCGAGGGGTCTGCCTTAGACCCCCAAGTCCTCCTGCGGCCACTGCTTACTGCTGCCGGCTCCCCCGCCCCTCCCTGGTGGTTGGCCCCAGGTACACTGGGTCCCTCTCCTTCCATTAAGCTGTCCCTGTCCCAGGGGGACTGGGGGAATCTTTGAAGCTGGGGGCCAGGTGCCAGCCCCCCTGGAAACTCAGCACGGGGCTCTGAGGTCAGGTGCGTGACCTGGGCGAGGGGGAAGGACAGTGGGGGACAAGCCCCAGCATGGCCACGGAGATGGGAGCCCAGGTGGGCTGAGCTGTTTGCTGCACACGTTCGTCCAGCCCACACACCTGTTCTAGGAGAAGGAGGTGGAGCTCCTGAGGGGACTGGGTTCCACGGTGCTTCAAGGGAGGAGGTGGCAGGGGCC